ACCGCTGGACAAAAGATGCATGCTTACCCGTGTGAACTTGCACCAGGGAGATGAGGCTCCAGCTGCTGGCAGCCATCTTGCCACCAAGAGGAGAGAGCCCATCGGAGCAGGGAACCAACCCAGAGCAGGAGGGGAGCCCAGTCATGCTGAGAGTAATGCCGAAGAGCGGTATCATTTGAGCTCCTTGGCAATCCTTGCTCTGGAAACACAACTGTCCTGGCACTTTCCAGTCACGTGAGCCAATAATTTCCTTTCTATTTAAACCAGTTTGGATTGAGTTATCTGGCATTTGTCATTGAAAACCCTGACACCGGCATCTACAGAGTGTGCTAGACCCGTGAAGGAAAGAGGATAGAAACTTGAAAAAGAAATATGCCCCCTTTCAAGAATCTGAGCATGGAGTGAGCACAGCACAGATCTGAAATCATAATTAAAATACAACTTGACAATTGCTGTAATAAATGTATGACCCAAGTGTCCGGGGACCCAAAAGAGGAAGTAAATAACCTTGTGGTTGTCTGTCTGCAGAAGACCCTCTTCAAGGAGGACCTTAGGGGCTCTTCATGTGGGTGTTGAACTTGGGAACAGGCACCAGGCTCTTGGCAGGGGAGGGGGGCGGGGCAAACCCCCATGAGAGCTCCCCATTCCAGTGCACTTCCAGATCAGTCCGGCACTGTTCCGATCAGGCCTGGTAGGGGTTTAATTGCTTTGGATTGATTTTTACCCGCGGTGCTTCAAAACCCCCAGCCCAGGGATAAAGAGAGATTAGTCACGTCAGGGAGGCTCCCTGCTGGCTCCGGTGAAAATCAGCCAGGGGTGAAAATGATTTAGAAGAATTTTTAAAATCTGCGTCCCCGAGTGTACCTGGGACGTGAGCGGGCTTTCTGACAAATGGTGACCAGAGCACTTTGTGAAAACCCAGCAGTGATAATCCTAGGAACTACCGTTTCTTACGTGCACCATGGTTCGCTGATGCCGCCCGAGCCCTTTGCTTATATTCCAGGATGTACTTGGCTTTGCAAACCAGGACATGGGCCAGCGTCACCAGTTACCGGCCACTGGCACAATGCACGGGCTATATTGGTTGTGCATTATTTGTAGAGTTGCCCCTTTATACAGTGTCTCCTTTATCCTTCAGGACGATGCTGAGACGAATAATAAGCTGTACGTGTGCTACAGATGAGGGAAGAGAGGTTAAGTTACCTGCCCGGCTAGGAAGGCACAAAGCCGGGATTTGATCTTGGTGGGGTCCTCTCGCTCCCACGGTTCCACTGATGCCAGGAAGAGACATTTTCTGGAGCTGGGTCTTTGTATCTCTGTGTTCGCAACTGTCGAGCGATGAGCACCAGCTTTGAGGCCTCGGTCTGTCCTGGAACGGTTCTTGTGAAACTCCCGGAGTGTGTGTGCACTGTTGTTCCCACGTTTGCCATCGAGGCGAATGCGATGAGCAGCCAAAGGCATCACCCAGGGCGTGTACGGAGGGCTGACTTAGCCCTGCCGAGTGGTCCAAAAAGGCCAGGGAGAGATGTGTCGCTCTGTGTGGCAAGCAGACCCCACCCCAGCAGCAGACGCCCTGCCCCTCAGCGGGACATTGGCGCTCTGCTGTGTCGGGGGGTGAGATGTGGTTGATGAAACCTCTACCCTCACCAGGAGTGTTCCAGAAAGCAGGTGTCTCTGTGTTTCAAAGACAGCTCTGAGCAGAAGTGGAGAACAGGGCCCAGTGGACATCCTTACCTGTCTTGTACTCATCTGGAGATGTAAATCTCAAGTTTCCTTTAATTTTCCAAGATTTTTATTGAACGCTAGATTTGGGGAGGGGGGTGAGAGATGAGTTGGATTCAGATCAGGTTTTTTGTTCATTTATTTATTTTGAGATAGAAAGAGAGAGAGGCAGAGAGAGAGAGAGAGAGAGAATCCCAAGCAGGCTCCGCACGACCAGCGCAGAGCCGAATATGGGGTTCCATCTCACAAACTGCGAGATCATGACCTGAGCTAAAATCAAGAGTCAGACGCTTGGGGCGCCTGGGTGGCTCAGTCGGTTAAGCACCCGACTTTGACTCAGGTCATGATCTCACGGCTCGTGAGTTCGAGCCCCGCGTCGGGCTCTGTGCTGACAGCTCGGAGCCTGGAGCCTGCTTCGGATTCTGGGTCCCCTTCTTTCTCTGCCCCTCCCC